GATCTCAAGACTCGATGCGTGCCGGCGGCATCAACACGGTGGCCCTGCAACGTCGCCACCAGCCGCAGCCGGCCAGGGGCGAGATCAGCACAAAGGCTTCCCAGCTGGCCTCCGACATCCTGACGGAGTACCTCCAGCGCAAGCCGCATCGCGCCGCCCACGGCGAGTTTGCCTCGTTTCCCACCGTCGATGTGAAGCGTGTTCTGCAGATCTGAATCCGGGAAAGTATCATGGGGGCCAGGGGCAATCAAGGTAACTTAGAATAGAACTTAATTTTGGAACTCGTAGCACAATTTCGGTTCTCCACTCTAGTTCAAGCGGCTTCCCAAAAACCCTCCAAAAATCCACGAATTCAGAACTCCCTGCTCCTGTGATCTGAGACCTAATCATGATAGCTAAACAAAAAGGGCAACCGAGACATTATAATTCTACACTTAATTTATGTTTTTTGTATAAAGATTATAATATATATATGGTAATACTAACTTTTTGTGTTTAACTCCAACATGGCCTACTCTGAAACTAAACTCAAGCGAACTAATACCGGTATTATCTATGAATTCAATGGCAGGGGAGAAGAAACTATGTGAAAGACACAACTAAACCAGAGAAACAAATCTAATTTGCATAAACGAGAATAAAGAAAAAACATTATATATACCATATAAAGTAAATATATATTTTGCTGATGTTGTATAACAAATGATACCAGTGCGTTTTAATTGATGACGGTTTTTTTCTTATAAATTTCTTCCTTTATTGATTTCTTCCTTAGCTAGCTTATTTTTTCAGAAAGAATATTAAATAAATAAGTATTTTATTTAATTTAAATATTTCTAATTATACATTTTTTAGGGAAGAGTTTTTTTTCGAGACCTGATTGCAAAGTGTCCCACGAAGACCGCTCACCTTTAAAGACTTTTCAAAAGGGTTCCACGATAAGCGCTCTCCTTGGGACTCTTACCTATTGGGTCCCAGAAAGAGCACTTTTCCAGAGACACTTTTCATTCCGGTCCCAGAAAAAGGCCTCTTCCCGCTCTTTGTTTTTTCAAAGCATTAGCATCTTTCCACTTAAACATTCTACCCTATTACCATAAATTATGTTCTTCTTTTACATCATTTAAACAATTTTCCTCCATTTAAGCTAATACGATTTTGGCCAAGCTCAGTTAAATTTTCAAGATCCAACAGAAAATCGTTTAAGCCAAGCAAAGAACCATTACACAAAATGGGATCCACTTCAACATGACTTCCAAACAAAGAGGGTAAGTTCAGCTCACTCTTAACTCCAAAACGGGTTCTCTTCGACCTGCTCTATCGCTCTGCTCCTCTCTGGACGTTTCCGTTCGCTTGCCCAACAACAACAATAATATGCTTCAATGCCGCGCAGTTGCAGCAACAAAAACAACAATGAAAACAACAGCTGCTGCAATAGCAAAAGAAACTATTACATTAGCCCAAAAGCAGAAACAACAATAAAACCAACAACTACGACCATAAACCATGATGGCCAAAATAGCCCCTGCTCTACCCTCCCTCATCACTCCTCTCCCCCATTATTCCACTTCTAAGTCCAGCAACATGAAGCCCTTCTGTTTGAAATGTAAATTGAAAATAATTTTCTTTTTACTGGCCTTTTTCCTTTGCCCCCTTTGACTGGACAGAAACCAGAAGAATCATTGCTTCTTCTGACCCCATTCTGCGGCTTGGCCTTTGTCGAGTAATTCCTCTGTAGGAAGCAGCAATGCCTCGCTATTCCAGGTGGGAAAATCAACAGAAATTGTGAAATAAATTGCTGGGAATTAATTTACTTTTATACAAATACAAAATTGTTAATATTTATAAATGCAATATCATTCTAAATAAGGAACCCTTTTCTTAACTTTTTAATTTTAAAACAATTTATTAAACCCTTGCAAATTATTTTAATTTCAATCAGAAGATAGCAACTCAATGAAGAAATATTCTTACAAAGAACAGTTTTCCCAAATTAAAATTATAGCGTTTTTTAAACGTATTAAAATATATGATTACGAAATTAATAACTTTAGTAAAGTTACTTTACAGCTTCTTACAAAATATTCTTAATTAAAAAAATACATATCCCAACCGAGCAACAAATTCGTGTCACATTTCACATGTTTTCCTAATTTAACCTTTTTGAGAAAACATATATTTTCCTAAGAAAAAACGAGCATATCAAAATCCACTTAAATAATCGTGCCAAGATAATAAACCAATGAAGAACCAGAAATGTGTAGTTTGTGTGGTTACACTGAGTAGGTGCGAACACGTAGAGGCTTCTCCGCCGAAATAAAATTAGCTCCCATGTGATCTGATTGCTGTACATTTATGGAGCGGCTTCCGATGTGTGTCGGTCGCCTTGGTTCCGGGCCCCCTCTGGGCCAAAAGCCATTCTCACGCCCGGCTCTTGGCCAGCGTCTGACCTTTTTACGGTGCTTTTGTTTATGGCCAGACACTGACTGAGCCACTGGGCTTGGTTTGGTAATACGCCTTACTTGTGTTTACCTTTTCGGCTCGAACAAAGAGCCAAGAGCCGGGCTTCTCGCTCTGCTTGCAGCGACCGCCAAAGTGACAGATCCTTCTCCCAACTCCAAGCTCCAATTCACTGTAGTTTACAACTGCCACTGACACACATATCTGGTAACGTAACTACATATTGTTCTGCAGTTCCAGTTTTTAAGTCCACTTCTTTTGCTAGCAACAGCTTTTGGCCAGAAAGCGTCCGGTAATGCCCCAAAACTTGTTGCTGAGTTGACTCATGCCGAGCGCTAAAAACAACATAATTATTGTACATATAATAAGACTGATGAATGTGTGCATTAAGCTGGTTTTCAAGTAGACTATGGGATGCCCTAAAATATTATAAAATTATAAAATAAATTAAAATCAGAATAAAGAGTACTTTAACTCTTTAAAAGATTTTAAATATCAATTCTATTCTTTAAGCAAAACTTTTTATACTATCTTTATTATATATTTTATAATTTTTTTAAAGCTCTCTAAATTCTATTTGCTTCGTTGTTTTACTTAATTTATTACACCCTTTAAAGTAAAACAATCTTAATGGCCAAGAAGTGCTCCACAAATTTCTAAAATTACCTAAAAAAAATAAACCAACTTGTTAAAAAAACTAATCAACCTCCCTTAAAAGCAAAGCTAAAAAACAGCAGAAATAATTAAAGAAAAAACTGCGAGACAATGCAGAGCAAGAGCAAGAAACCGAAACCAGTTTGGGTGGGGTATATATAGTATAGTATCTTTGGTACAGAACACCCTAGATGGCTGGATGAATGGATGGTTGGACATGGACATGGACATGGACCCCAACAAGAGCGAGAGTGTAAGACGATAAAGCGGCTCAAGAACACTTGATTGCAGGTGAACTGCCGAGTGGAAACCGGAGATGAAACAGCCACGAGTAGGAATTCCATGCGGATGCCCCACAAATGTACGAGGAAGGCACCCAAAAACCTTCCTCATTAGTTAGAGGGGCATCAGGCAACCCAAAAGAAGATCTTCGGCGGAAGCACGGAAGTTTCACTGGTAACCAGTGGGAAAAAAAAACCCCTGGCAGGCATACAAAGAGTTAGTTACGCCTGGTTAGGCCACCATCCGAGAGCTCAATTTGGTAAATGGCCAAATGGCCAAACAGTAGCCAACACAGTGGCCATAGACACCGTCGAACATAAACAAGCGGCCACGCAACATCAGCATTATGGATCACATTGGAGGAGGAGGAGGAGGAGGCGGATACGCTGACGGAGGAGTTGGGCATGGCCACCAAGAACAATGGTCTGGTGTCGGTCTAGAGCTCATCTTCATCTCCATCTTCACTTGGCCCCACTTGAGGGGCTCATTGTGCATGTTGTGTTTGCAGTGAAGAGCAGAGGTGGGGCAAGACTTGGGCATAGTACCACGCACTCGACAGTCTGACCATGTCTATCTTTACTCTTTAGAAATCGTCGGTACTTGAGGCACTGGAAAAAATAGGATTGATTGGGGTGAGCTAAATTTATTTAATTTATTAATCAATTATATTCTTTATATATTTTTATTGAAATCATTTTTACCTTATTTAAGTTTATATCTTTTTTTAGCAAGTCTTTAAATATTTATTTTTTAAGTGCACATCCATTGTTATTGCCGTTCTTGGTTGCCCATTGTTTCTGTTGCTGTTTGTGTTCTTGCCGTATGTAAATTTTTGCATTGAAGTCTGTGTACGTATGGGTGCATGTGGTTTTTGGAGGTCCAGGTCTCTTCTGGCCCTCCTCGACCTCACTCCTCCCAAGCTGAGAGTTCACTTGGACGCTTTCGTAAGTCACTTCCAATGCAAAACAAACGGCAAAGAGCGGCCCAGAGGCGAGAGAACAAACAAGGCAAATGTCGGTTAAGAGAAAGCGCCATCAGCCATATGCCAGTTACAAGGGGGAAGTCGACGGCAGAGAGCGCCAAGTGGAGCTTACCTTTGGCTTGGAGTTGAGCAGGGTTGTCTAGTTGTTGAAAATAAGACTTTAAAACTAAAGAAAAATCATTAATTGCTGAATTATGAGGTACTTGTAGAGGCTATTTAACAATTTGCTTACAAAAATTAACTTTTATACCCTAGTAAAATTCTGTTTTATTATTTCTCTGACTCACTTTATAGAGAAAAGACCCATATGGCTTCTTTGCTGATAACTCACACATTACAGAAAGCCAATTAATTACCTTTATCTCTGCTCCCCCCAATGCAGTTTATTATCTGTATTACCTTGTAACCGTTATTACTCCATTGCAATCTAATCAGCTCAGGTGAGAACTCGACTACCCTGCCTGTGCTCTCATGACTCTCTTTTGGCTTTATAAATTAAGAGAGCCACCGTTGTTGGTTGTTGTTGCCAAGATACGAGGTTTAGCCATATCGTCGTCGCTTGGTTACTCATTTGTTTTGCCAATTTTCGTAGCACGGCGCTATTCAGTTAGTAACGAACGTTCGCGCCAGCCAGACGTATCCGAAACGCGTGTCGCGTCGCCGCCCGAAAAACTGGGGAAAGCCAGAAAATCTAAAGCTCTCAGAAATATCGTAACCAAGAGAATCGGACCAAGTTAAAGCCAAACGAAGCGAGGCGAAGTGTGCGTAGATTCCGGAGAATCGGAAGAGGAATCGGAATCGGATTCAGATTTGGTATAGGAGTCGGACTCGAACGCGAACTCGGGACTCGGACAGCGGAAGTTCTGCTTGGAGAGTGGAGGAGCAGCGTCGTGACCGAGGTTTCTGCCCTTTTTGCGATACAAATACGGGGATAACTACATGTATTTAACGTTTAACGGAGAAGTAGAGCCAAACTCTGGCGCGCTTTGCGAAAGTGGAAAGTATCTGCTGGATACTCGGATACTTTCCGCTTGGGGGAATTAATTAGAGCAAAGTCCCATGCTAAGCGCGCATTTATTTTTGTTGTTTTGTCAATAATACTGCCAAATCTGACACACTATATATACAATATATAGTATAGCGGAAATGCAAAACAATAATAACAGAAACTCCGCGGTGTGTCTCTCTGTGAACAGTGCCTCTGTGTGTGTGTTGCTACGAATAAATTAAACACAAAAAGTACATAAATAAATAAATAAATGTTGGCCAAAAGTGTTGCCTGAAGCGTATAATATATAACTATATATATATTGGCTTAAAAAACAACAGTTGCTGGCAAATGCAGCTAGGCGTGAAGTGCTTGCCAAATGGATTTTCTATATAACAAATGCGAAGCTACCGAAAAAAGTTATACTTATAAATCAGTTAGAAATTTAAACTGAAAATTACAACGATAATTGTGGGTTTATGAGGGACTTTAACCCCAAGTGGGTTTGCTTTTTTAAAGTATCTGAATTAAAATAGTGAGAAATATCTTGTAAATACAACTCATACCCCAAGGCGGAGCTACTTACTAACCCCTCGGAATCCATTAAGCCCATATCTACTAAAGCAACCCTTGTAAATTGTCTAATTAATATGTTTAAAAAATTTTAACTTAAATTTTAACAGCCTGCAAAAATTTATTTAAAAATTCCCCAACATTTTGTACATATTCCACAACCTTTGAGAAACCTAAACCATTTCTTTTGGCTACTTAAACCGCATGAAGCTTAACTAAAGACGAACTAAAGACTTACTTAAGTCGGGCTAAAGGCAAATTCCATTTTATATTAACCCTCTTGCTCAACCCTGTAGTTGTATGTCATCCCCCCCGAACCCAAACACAACCCACACCTTGTAAACAAAAAACCTAAAACGAAATGAAAACCCCAGAAACAAGTAACTGAAAACGTGCCAACGTGACCAACAACGTTGCTCCTTTTTGGCCAAGCGATTAGAGGCCACTCTGGCTCGGAATGTAATCCTCATTTAGTGCTAATTTCCATTACGGCTGCGTACTTACTATATGCATATAACATTTATATCTAACCGAAACCAACTGCCGCTCCAGACATCATCGCATCCGCTCTCTAACCCCCTTCGATCTGGGCTGCTCCCTGGGGGCAGCACGCGGTCCATGGAACTATGCTCGGAACCATCACTACACCTACTACTCCAACGGCGTCATCTGAATACCTAACACCCCGAGATAAGACCTGCAGATCTGCAGATTAATCCCAAAGCCAAAAACTTAAACAAATTGCATCTTAAACTACCCAAAGTCTGTGTGTGTGTGTGTGTGTGAGTGCGTGTGTGGTTGTGTGTGTTATGTCTGTAAATCTGGTTCGTTCGTTGTTGTGCCCGTAATAATACACCACACCCGCCACCGCCGCCGCCGCCTGAAAACGCTAACGATCATGCATAAACCAAAGCTAGCGAATGCTATAACCGCCGCCGCCATTGCCTCATCCATATCCACCAACAACAACAACGGCAGCAGCAAGCACAACAGTGCCGGCAGCCAGTCGAAGCGGGCACGCCAGTTTGGCATCGGCATTGGCCACCCATCGAGCCTCCGGCCGGACGACTCCGGCTTCGACCACCTCGACCACTCGTCACTAATTGGGGATTCGATTGATTTAGAACACTACATCAGCGCGATGGAGGCCAGAAGGCACGACCAGGAGCCGGATGTGTGGGCCCAGCTGCAGCAGAAGGAGTCGGACATTTTGCTGGCCGCCGAGCTGGGCAAGGCATTGCTGGAGAAGAACGAGGAGCTGGTGAAGCAGCAGGAGAAGCTCATTGAGGACTATTCAACAAAAATTGAGGTGAGTCTTTTGAATAATATTATTTATATTACATTTTCGGACTTAAACTTATATAAAGTGTTTCCCATCTTGTTGTTATATTGATTATTTATTTATTTTAAAGTTAGGAGAATGAGCTATTTTAAAGTTTAAAAACTGTATAATATATTTGAGAAGATCCTAATGGTTTTTAAAATATAATCAATCTGAGTTTAAGAGTTTTAAAATATATAAAAGGAGGTTTAGAATTTTAAAATTATTTAAGAAGAGCTTGTGCTTATTTCTCACTTGAATAGTTTCTCAATTGTTCTCTTCTCAAATATTTATTAATAAACTAATAAAAGGGTCTAACATTTACCCTTTCTCCCTGAGATTTTTTGATTGACGCACCTGGTGATTTGCATTGATTATTGCCACGACATGTGGCTGTACTTTACTTATCTGCCATACGACCTCCCAGCACGGACGCATTGCTGGCATTCCCAGGACGAGAGTTAAATAATACATATGTATATGGATATTGATTTTTTTATTTGACGAAACACCACAACTGTCTGTCCGCCTGTCCAATGCAGCTCTGGGAGAGCTCAGCAACTTCTGTCAATTGCAATTTTATGGCAGTGAGGGATAGAGACACAGACGCAGACAGGTGAGGAGGGCTAGTGGACACATTAACTATTTAGACTGTCCCGCGGTCATGTCACTGCGCAGTAAACTACTGAACTATATAGTACATCACGTAAGGCAATCGATTTTAGTTTTTGTCACACACATTGACATTTGTTCTACAGTAAAAAATTATGTGGAAAGTTCAGGAAACAAACAAAGTGGCTTTATCAGGTGCTCTTCCCTGGAGTCTATGCATAACACCTTGCCTAATGCTTCACAAGTTTATGTCTGCCGTCCGACCTTGAACCGCTACAGTGGGTGGTTGCTCACCTGTTCACATACACATAGCTACTCTATAACTGACAATAGAAAGAATTTCCTATGGGTAAACAACCATTCCGCTTCAGCTAACGCTATCGCTCCAAGTGAAGTTCAAGCCGCGGCTCAAGTTCGTGGCCGTTCATTAGCATATTGGTAGCAACGACATTCCCTCGAAATTTCCCTACCGATTTCCTACCTTTTTCCGCCCATAACCGATAGTTAGGCTAATGTACTTTTGTTGACCGAACCCCCGACACGGTGTGTTCTTATCAATTACGGTGCTTGCCGCCCCCGTCGAACGATTAATGGCAATCCAATGCACGGAATTACCAGGAAATGCCGGGAGAGAGACCACGCACCACCTGAGCCGACGACGGTGTCAGTAACCCAAACAGAGGACACAGCAATGCGTTGAACTTGAATATTATCGTTGGTACATATTTTCCAAGGGGTTTGGGCCGTATTTACTATACGTAGTTGGCTTAGTCACTCAAACTGGGCTTCGTATTCCCCATTTTTGTTTTGTTTTTTTAAAAGCGTCGTTGAGGAGTGACTTCATCTTCACTTGGAAATGAAAGTGCGAAGGCCAATTGCTGACCGCGTAATATCCTGTTAATACTGTCACGATGATGTCATGGGAGAGTCGTTATAATAAATTTAACCTGTTTGAAATTGTAAATATTTGAAGACTTAATTGGGGAAGGCAGCGAGTGTCATTTGTGTATCTGTTGAAGTTTCTTCAAAAGCAATGGAAAATCTTAAAAGTAGATAGAAAACCCTAATAAATATTAATATTATAGGGTATTTTTCTTAATTATAAAATAGTATTGTTAATATCTTAGACTTATAAAATAGCAGCATCCATTTATTGTTCGAACAAAACCCTCTAAAATTTCTATTTCATTTCTCCCAAACAATTCTAGTTCTTAACTCTTTAAAATTAAGTTTAATTTCTAGCTTAATAACACCATTTTAAAGCCTGTTGGTAGTATAAATTAATAGAGAAAAGTCATTAACTTTTCAAATCCAGCCCTTCATTTTACACTTTTTAATAATTCATAGTTAGACCAGTCATAAAGGTTCCCTCTCAATTCATACATATATGTATATTCCCCCACCACTTGCATTTTCGACTGAAAAACCATTAACTTTATTACCAAGCCCGTTCCAATTAAAACCCCAAAATAAAAATGACCAGAGAATTCCCATGTTCCATTTTCCATTAGAGCCATTAAATGAAAATCGCTTTACCCGTAATGAAATTGGGCCGCCACAAAATAGAGCTTGACCCGGGCAATTGTCATTTAAATTATTTGTTTTAATCTCTTAGCCATGGTAATCGCTTTAGTGAATTCTGTCTGCCGTGCGGCTGGCTCATAAATTTAGCGAATTTTTGGATTTTTGTCACCTTGACTTTACCTTTTGGTCTTTGGATATTATAGCAAGTGACGTGAGGCCGAAATATTCGTTAGATTCACTTTTATTTGCGTGCTTTTGGCAATATGCAAACTTGTTGTTCGTGTATCTAATTAATTTCTTTAACGTTTTGGAGCGCACAATGTCACTTCGCCCGCTGGATGGATGAGTGGTCAGCAGCGGGCCCATCCTAAGCTTATACTATATGCTTAGTATATATACTCTGTGGACGACGACTGACGTAATTAGACTGCTCTCTGTGTGTTGTAGGTGTTTGGCTGTGGCTAAAATGGCAGTAGCTTTGGTCCGAAGCTAGCCCATTTTTTTGTTATTGTTGTATTTCGCGGTCTGTTGAAGCGTGTGTGCCAATTTACGAGCATTGCCTTTTATTTTTAGCTACGATTTGTTTTTGCATTAACTTTTATATGCGCCATAATATTATATATATGTATATATATTGTCCTGCGGCCCGATTCTCAAATGCTAATGAGCTCCAAGGCCTTGTATTGGTCATTTCAGGGGTTTTTCCTTGAGCAGGATGGTTTTCCCTTAGAAGGTTAAGGGTATGAGGAAGGAGCATATTAAAGTCAAGGTTCTGGAAAGTATGGTAATTATTTTAAGGCATAAAACAAGTAACTGTTTCTGGTTTAAAAACGAAAACCCACACTTTTTCACCCTTTCAATCTCCTCAAGAACAGCTTTTCCTCTTTATATTGACAACAAAGACAGCGCTCTGAATCATTATTATATTCTCTGCTCGTTCTCAGCCATATTTCACTTCATTTTTCACGTTTTTTTTAAAGCCCACTCCTTATTAACTAGTTCACAGACAATCGACCAAAAATAGTTGACCATTGTTGACTACCAAAACGTGTTTTCTTCGAACCCAACAGAGAACAATTGGAGGGGAAATCAATTGGCATCTGGCGGAGGTATTGTAAGCCTGGCTGTAAGTCGCTCGTTTATCACGATCTGCAGACAATTGTGGCTATTACTGGTTAGGAAATTGAAGCCCAACTTGGTCGTTCCAAGTGTTGCAAATGGCAGCCGAAAGTAAAGTCTATAATTTGGAACGTAGGCGTCTGTTACGGTTAGGCATTTAAATAATTCAGATCGCTTTCGGCCAACTTGGCCCCCTTTGGCCTTTTCGAAAGTCTACGCCCCTGACGTCGACGTTTTTATTGCTTTAATAACTTTTGTTTGGTTTGTGCGACTGACATTGGCTTGGTCAACAACTGGTTTCAGTTAAAGTTTTTATAATAAATTTAAGCGCTTTTGCCCGCTTAGAACGACCACTCACAATCGTTGGCAATTTGTTCTTTGATCAATTACGATATTAAATTGAAACTTTCAGCCCGCTTACAGCGTTTCTAAGAATGCTAATGAAAAGGTAATTCCATTTAAACGTTCTTTGATTAGCCTTGATCGCTGTTAGTTTATGTCTTTCCTTCAACAGGATGTGGTTGTGTTAACAACAGAAAATGGAAGTGAACAACTGTGGTTTTTGTGGCTAATGAAAGGAAGTGCTTCGGGCTACTGGGAGTTGAATTTACATACCTTACGGGTGTTTCAATGATTGTGGATATTAATTGTAAAGGAAATGGTTGGAGAGGCAGGTTCTTAACTGAGTTGATTCATTTTTGATGCTAAAAAAGAAGAATTAAGGGAAATTATGATCCTTTTAAATCCAAAAAGGTTAATTTTTGAGACCTGAAATATCACCTTACACTTAAGGATTTTTAGCACGATTGTGCTATTCATATTTGTACCCTATTTTTCATAAAAGAACTAAAGTACATGTATACTAAAAACCTTAATCTACCCCAAAAACCTTTTAAAATTAAACACTTTATTGATTCTCCTCTTTTTTTAAACCCCAAAAAAGTTGAAGATTGAAAATTCTAAAGCTCCCATACTTTTCTAATAACCGTCAACCACTCAGGCTATATTTATCATTCATCAATCTCCATGAATCACATAAATAATAATAATTTAAGAGTGTATCTTCCGCCTTTCGAGCGAGTCACACGCCCACCATGTCCATCGTCTCACTTAAGCGAACTGACCCTGTCCCAGTCAGTGGGCGGACCAAGAACTCACTATTCTCAATGGTTACCTCTCAATCGAAGCCACCTACTTGTCAAGACACCTACTGAATCTGAGGTTAGATAACCAAACGCGTTCTATATGCGAAAAGAGTTAAGACCTAAAGAAAAAGCTGATCGGAATAAAACTCTCCTCACGTTCGCGAGCCACTTGTATTTTTTTATTTTTCGGCTTGAGGTGAAGTCATCAACACATTGTTGTTTTTTCTTTTTTTTTGCAACAAAACAACAAAATTTCAAAATCAACTAATTTGCATGCGAATAATACGGGTTTATATAGCAGCGGGTGTGTATATGTATCGTGTCCATCTCATGTGCTGGAAACCAGTTTGATCGATCTTCAAAACAGCAATGAAAAAAAGTGCTTATTTAATGTAATCTTCTTCTTTTGGTGAGTCAGAGACCCCGAGTGGAGCTTTTTTTGGGAGCTCATTTACCTGCTGGCCATTTTTTGGGAGTACTCTTAACCCCAACTGGGAGACGGAGTACGCCTCCACATATTTTGGCCCCATTTGCCGCCGCCACCGGACGGGTATGCAAATTCATTCGCACACGAGGGAATTCTGGCTT